GGTGGCCGGGAGGGCGAGCTGGGCGGAGTCCTGGGGGGTTTCGCCACGACGGGGCGGGGCTTGCGCGGAAAGACGCGGAGGGGCTGGTCTGACACCGAAAAACCCAGGGTGGAGGGGAGGCTGGGGAGTTCGCCTCAGAGTCTGGATGGGGTTGCAGGCACTAGAAAGGTTGGAGCTGCAGCGAGACAGCTGAGAGCGAGACTGAAGTTAGGACTTCCTGGGAGTGAGGATTGAAAGATGCCAGAGGTTGGTAAAGGAAGAAGGGGCACCATCTGCCCCATTAATTGGATGTCTCTCTCAAAATATACACGACCCTGGACTATCACATACGTGTGTCAAGGCCAGCCAGACAATTCCTCCTTTATGATGGAAAGTAGCGCAACTGTATTCGTTCCTTTCCAGTCTTGGTGTTCGGACTTCGGCAGAGAAGGGGCCTCAGTTCTCAAGCAAAGACCTCAAATCTCTCTAAGACACACCCCCTCCTAAAGATCTGATCACAGCTGGAGTTAGACTGGTGGGTGGTGGGTGGGAGAGGTAGGTGAAGAGGCCTTGCCTTCCAAGATGCCCTGTCTCCACCTGGGTCTGAAGACACCTCTCTCTCTCTCTCTCTCTCTCTCTCTCTCTCTCTCTCTCGTTAGAGATAGGGTCTCCCTCTGTTGCCTTGCTCGAGTGGAGTCACAGTCATAGCTCATTGCATCACTGCAGCCGCAACCTCCATAGCTCAAGTAATGCTTCCACTTCAGCCTCCTGAGTAGCTGAGACTACAGGTGCACACCATCACACCTGGCTGCTTTTTTGATTTTTTTGTTGAGATGAGGTTTCACTACGTTGCCCAGGCTTGAAGACATGTTGCTTCCCTGGGACCCGTCTCCCCACGTTTCCCTCCCTCACCCCCTGCCCCCTTTTCTTCTGCCCTTTCTGGCCATGACTGACAGGTCCAGCCTCATCTCTTGAAGTGTCCAAGGAAAGGGAGGTCCGTTGGTGGCTGAGAGGATCCTTCCCTGGGTGTAGGTGGAGAGACTTCTGGGTTTAAGCCTCCCTCCTCTGCAGTGGGTGGAGGGTGGCCCTTGGGGGACCTGGGGTGAGCAGGGGGTCCTGCCTTTATGCAAGCCCCGGCCCATCCCATGCACACAGCTGTCCATCCAATCTGTCCTCCCTAGGATGAGCTCACCACTGGAACTCTGCTCAGGTTACTGTGCCCAGGAATAGAGATTTATTGCCAGTGGCAGAAGAAGGACAAGGTCAGAGCGAGGGTGATGGCTATGGGGGCTTGGGCTCCTCGCCCTCCAGATCCACCCAAGGTACAGACTTCTGGCTTTCCAGAAAGGAGCTGGGCTGGAGCCTGAGTTCACCTCAAACCGGTCTCCCCAGGGGACCACTCATCACTGGCTTTGCCTCCCCTTTGAGGATAGGCCTCTCTCTCTTGCCCAACCCAGCTCAACTCCCCTCCCTGGGCAATCCAGACTGCAGCGCCCTGGGACAGGGTCATCAGGCCCTCCATCCATCCTGGGCTAGAAACACTAGGGTCTTCTGTGTTTGGAGACCATCCATGGAGAGGTATCCCATTTTCCCCAGGAGAGCAGAGGCTTTGGGTTCCTAAGGGTCCAGTACCTGTCAAGTTGGTAATTAACTGTGTGACCTTGGGCAGGTAACCACATCTTTTTTTTATCTTTTATTTTTTAATAAAAACAGGACTCCCTGTGCTGCCCAGGCTGGTCCCAAACTCCTGATCTCAAGCGATTCTCCTGCCTCGGCCTCCCAAAGTGCTGGAATTACAGGCTGAGACACCGAGCCCGGCTTTTGTCCAGCCTCTTACCTGGTTTTTGAGCCTTGGTTTCTTAATCTGCAAAAGGGCGACTGAGCCCACAGGACTGTTAGGAGGACAAATGAGATAGTACAACCCGGCACCTTGCCCAGGCGAGGCAGGCAAGGGAAGTTCATGTTCCTCTTTCCCTCCCTTCTTTTGAGTGGTGTCCTTTTCCAGTACTTTCTCTGAGGCAGAGAGAAGAAAACAGCTTCCTTCCCTCACTCTCCTTGGCCACTGAAGCTGGTGTTCCATGGGGGAACCAGCTCAGAGGTGGTGATCCAGAGACAGAGAGATGCTAACTAGGCCGGGAAGAATTCCCAGGGGAAACAGTGCTGCGGA